CCTCTGCGCCATCCGATAAAAATTGAGAGCACAAGTTGAATGGAACAATGAAATTTGCAAGAGAGTGCAACAACAAAAGTTTGCAACGAAGTTTGCAATGAAGTTTGCAACGAAGTTTGCAATGAAGTTTGCAACGAAGTTTACATATGCAACTATTTCATATGCAACAAGTTTGCAATGAGAGGGCTGCAAATTAGCAGCGTAGAGTTTATGCAATGATATGTAACGAGGGGTTTCAAATAACCAGATGCACCTAAAGAGTTGCAAATTTGACATCAAAATTTATCTGATTACCGACCTTCACAAAAAAAGCAATATGTGAGTAGCAACAGTATAGAAATGATCGGATCTTTGATGGTCTGACACCATGTTAGATTTAAAGAAGTTGTAGAGCTCAAGAACAAGCTAGAGAGAAAAACTATCTTGATTGAATCTCATTAATAATGAATAAAAGGTTTATATACAAATACAAATTCGGTGTAGACCACATTATCCCTACACATTTACAATGACAATAAAAAACAACTGAAAATTATACATGGTATTTTTGTATACATATTATTGTGTCCCACGGTCCAAATTACAGCTACCAAATTTTCTTTCAAAGCTCAAGTTTAGATCCTACGTTATCCAAAACTATGTTTTGTATACTCAGGGTATCTTGCATAAAAACATCTTGCGCAACTTTTTGGACACATAATCATGTTTTCTCTAACAAAAAAAGAGGGTCATTTTGTACACAAAATCAAGAAAATTTTGAGTTATCCAAAACATTATTTTGTGTAAGCATAAGTTAGGGAATACAACTTGTGACAATGCTATTTTCACACATCAGAGCTGCCCACTTTATTAAAAATAAGTAATTATGCCAAAACATCTACAAAAATTAGAAAGAGAAACCTCCTTAAGTTTTAGAGAGAGAAAGTATCTTAAAAAATTTTAAAAATAAACTATATCAAATTTTAGAGAGATAAACTACTAAATTATTTTAGAGAGAAAAACTATCTCAAAATTTTTATAGAGATAAACTATCTCAAATTTCACTTTTTAGATAGAGAAAGTATCTTAAATTTTAAAGAGAGAAACTATATCACATTTTAGAGAGAGAAATTACCAAAAAAAATTAGAGAGATAACCTTCTCAAAAGCTTTAGAGAGAGAAATTATATCAAATTATAAATTTTAGATGAATAAAGTATCTTAAAATTTTGGAGAGATAAAATATGTCAAATTCTAGAGAGAGAAACTACTTGAACTTCTTTGAAAATTTATTTCAAAAATTTTAGAAAGCACAACTATATCAAATTTGAGTTTTTGGAGAGAGAAAGTATCTTAAAACTTTAGAGAGAGCAACTAATCAACTTTTAAAGAGATAAATTACCTGAAAATTTTTAGAGAGAGAAACTATCTCAAAAATTTTAGTTTTAGATAGAGAAAGTATCTCAAAATTTAATAGAGAGAAACTATATCAAATTTTAGAAAGAGAAAACACCTGAAATGTTTAGATAGATAAATTATCTTAAAATTTTAGAGAGAGAAACTATCTCAAATTCAAGTTTACGAGAGAAAACAAATCTTAAAATTTTAGAGAAAGAAACTATATCAAATTTCAGAGAGAGAAATTACCTGAAATTTTTTAGAGAGAGAAACTCTTAGATTTCAAATTTTAGAGAGAAAATATTGTAAAATATTAGCGAGTGAAACTATATCAAATTTTAGAGAAAGAAACTACCTAAAAGATTTTATAAATATCTGAAAATTTTTAGTGAGACAAACTATCTCAAAATTTCCAGTCTTAGAAAAGGAAAGTATCTTAAAATTTTAGAGATATAAATTATATCAAATTTTAGAGAGAGAGACTATCTAAAAATTTTAGGGAGATAAACTATCACAAAAATTTTAGAGAGATAAACTATCTTAAATTTCAAGTTCTACAGAGAGAAAGTATATTAAATTTTAGAGAAGGAAAATACCTCAATTTTTAGAGAGAGAAACTGCATCAAATATTAGGAGATAAATAAATTGAAACTTTTTAGAGAGAGAACTATCTTTAAAAATTTAGAGAGAGAAATTATATCAAATTTCATATTTTAGAGAGAAGTATCTTAAAACTTTAGAGAGTGAAACTCTATCAAGTTTTAGAGAGAGAAATTACCTAAAACATTTAGAGAGAGAAACTATCTCAAAATTTTTAGAGAAACTTTCTCAAATTTTAAATTTAAGGGAGAAAATGTGTCTTATAGTTTAATGAGAGAAACTATATCAAATTTTAGAAAGAGAAACTACCTGAAACTTTTTTGAGATAGAAATTATCTCAAAACCTTTAAAGAGAAATTTTTAAGTATTTTGAAATTTCAAATTTTTAGAGAGAGAAAGTATCTCAAAATATTTTGAGAGAAACTATATCAAATTTAAAGTTTTAGACAATTTTCTCTCTAAAAATGTTGAGAAAATTTCTCTCTAAAAAATTTTAGGTAGTTCCTTTCTCTAAAATTTTTGTCAAATTTTTTATAATAGAAAATCTTTTTATGTGTATTGTTGCATACCAAATATGTATAACATAAAAATGTTTTGTAAGAATGGTGTTTACCTCCATACTGAAGCTTGCCGCACAAGATAAGATACATTTGGATCATAGTTAGCAAGTTGGGGACTATCAATAAATCAGCTCACCATAAAATCGGAAACAAATGGTTTTTATTTTAAAAAAATAGGATGAACAAATAGGATAAAAAATACGGATCGGCAAAAAATACTTCATATAAAGATATCGCTAATATATCGGATTAGGTTCAAAAAATCGGAGTCAAAAAATCGAATAAATTTATAATATTAGAAATTTTGAAAATCTAAAAAATAAAAATTATGTCAAAGCCATCAATTACTAATTCTTCTATAAAAACTTTACTAGAATAATATAATTAAGTCAATTAATTTCGATATCTTGTTACTCTCATCCAATCATTCTATATTAAATATATAATTAATTAGTATAAAAAAAGTACCATATAAATCTACCCATTAAATACTTTAAGAAATGTCACACCTACTTATTACATACAAAAACAAATATACTATATAAATTTATTCATTAAAATACTTTAAATATGGTATGGTGACAATATACTATAAATTTATTTATTAAATGCTTAAACATAACTCCTACTTTGCAGGTACCAAAAAATAAATGTATGATTTTTGTTTTCTCATTACAATTATTTAACTATGGCCACTCCATAACTATGGTTAAAGTTTTATAAATTTCTTTAGTTGAAAGGAAGTTTGTAGAATCTGTGTTGATTGTGTAGAGAGAGAAGAAGGAAGAACGACGAAAGAAGAAGGAAGAAGAGAAGAGAAGAGACGAGAGAAGAATGAAGAAGGAAGAGAAGAAAATAGGGCTCGGCTCATAGCCATTAGGGTTTATAGATAGAAGAAGGAAGAAGAAAATGATTTTCACAAACCCTAATGGAAGGGGCCCCAACTGATTTTTAGAGAGAGAGAAGGAAGAACTCTAATGGAAGAGGTCCTAACTGATTTTTAGAGAGAGAAAAGGAAGATGGGATGCTGATTTAGGAAGATGGGATGCTGATTTGGGATAGTTTGAATATGGCTTTTCTCTTTGATTTGGGATAGTTTGAAGAGGGCTTTCATTTTCTTGAGGAAACAGAACGGAAGGATTAAGTTTCAGGAACTAATCATAAATGTACAATTGCTTGCTCCTGTAAGTTTACAATTTACACAATCAAAAACAAAATAGTGATTACTTGTTCCTGTAGTCACACTCTCTACTTCTAATTCATCAGTAAAAAATTATGCTTTGAGCTTTAAATTGTGCCATTAACAGTATTTTCATAAAAACAATTATCACAAATAATCACAACAATCTACCTGTGTATGATTTCTTTACAGAATGATTTACTTTACAAAATGATTTGCTATAAATAGTATTTCATTTACACAATAATTTTTCAGAAGGACAACTGAAATTTGCATCTATTTGATTAAGTTTTTTAAAAAAAATTCATACCATCAATCTGTAACTCTGGTTTTGAAAAACACAGTGGGGATAAAAGTATCTATTTCAGTTTTTTTTTTTTAAGTAATTTTTTTTTTTTTAAAGCATGAAAGTAGCATTGGTTACAATAGATAAAACAAGAAAAAAATATTTTTCAAAAAAATATATCGGTAAAAAAAGATACGATTTTTTTCCCTGATTTAAATCATATTATGAAAAAAACCCGTTTGAAACATATTTATGAAAATTAGGCGATTTTTTGCCGACCTTTTAAAAATCGTCGTTTGAAACTGTTTCCATAAAAACACCGAATTTCTTGAAACAATCGCATGTAGCATTTGTTTCAAAATGCCATTGGAAGAGCGTGTGTTTAGTCTTTCTTCAAGCAAGCAGCTCATTGCATAATTTCAAACTGAATTTGTCATTTTTTCTTGGATTAAACAATCCTGAGACGCACCTAGTCATTTTTTCTTTGATTAGCCACATAATTTTATAGAAATATAATGTGCTCCCGCGGGAGCGTATATTGTGTAATTCTTTCTCACTCAAAACCCTACTCGAGAATTTTTTTAATTTAAAATTTAAAAAAACACACAGCCTTAAAACAAAACTTTCAAATTTAAATTGTGTGACAACTAGATTTAGCCTTAAAAAAATTAGATAGTCTTAATTAAGTCCTGAGGCATATCTATTTTTAAATACATTAAAATTTTATTTTGGATTTTTTTTAATAATATTTTTTTATAGGTTGTGAAAACTACATCCCAAAATTTGAAATCCAAAAAGTATCTATGCATTTTGCCAAAGGGAGAAACAAATAGTATCCTCCACTTAGAGGAGGAAATCTTGTGGCTAATTTTATTACGCATTGCGTCACCTTTGGCGTGGAGTGCAAAACGACGAGAATGCATCCCCCTTTATATATTTCTCCCACACCCCCAACTTCTTGTATCCAATTTTTGGAAAATTGAGAGATTAGAGAACCCATGCATATAATGCTCGTTTTCTTGTCGGCCCAAGGTCACTTAAACCCTGTGCTCCAGTTTGCAGGGCACCTTGCCTCGAGGGGTATCACCATCACCCTTGCAACCACCACCACCGGCCGAGAGCGCATCCTCAAGGGAGGCATGGGAGCCGCGGTCGAGGCTGAGGGCACAATCAAGTTTGAGTTCTTCTCCGATGGTTGGGACTCACGAGTCCCGAACGTGAATCTTGACGACTACATGGATAAGCTTGAGATGTTGGGCAGAGAGAGCCTTGCTAGTCTGGTTGAGGAACTAGCAGCAAATGGCCGCCAAGTCACTTACATCGTTACGAGCCCGTTCACACCATGGGTGGTTGATGTGGCCAAGAAGCTTGAGATCCCTTGTTCAGTGTTGTGGATCCAATCTTCGTTAGTCTACAGTTACTATTATCGTGTTTTTGGTGGATCGGGATCAAATGGCGAGGTCCCAATCAATTTGCCGGGACTGCCTGAGCTGAATCTCGAGGACTTACCATCCCTGTCTTTGCCATCAAACCCATACAAAACCTTCCCGAGGATTATAACTCAGCTTTATGCAAGACTCGGGGATGTTAGAATGGTATTGGGGAACTCGTTTGATAACCTAGAACCAGAGGAGATCCGATTTGTTGAGGGGCTACACCCAATAAGACTTGTGGGGTCGCTTGTTCCACAGGTTCTTCTCGAAAGGCCGTAGCCATCTATCTCCGACCTCTGCAAGGATATGTGGGATGCATCTCCAGAATGCTTAACGTGGTTGAACTCAAAGCGGGCAGCATTGGTGGTTTATATATCAGTGGGGAGCCTTGTGGTGCTGCCTCTCAAGCAGATGGAGGAGATGGCATGGGGGTTCCAGGCCAGCACACTGCCATTCCTATGGGTGGTGAAGCCACCGGAAAATTCATCAAACACAGCAATAATGCCAGAAGGCTTCTTAGAGGAGGTAGAAGGATAGGGGATTGTAGTGCCGTGGTGCCCTCAGGAAGAAGTGCTGAGCCATCCTTCTATAGCATGTTTTGTGACCCACTGCAGGTGGAACTCAACCTTAGAGATCCTCACAGCAGGCGTGCCTGTAATCACCATCTTGCAATGTACAGACCAACCGACCAATGCTATGTTCCTGGTGGAGGTGCTCGGGGTCGGCCGTCGTCTCAGGGCAGGCCCTGATGATGTAGTGAGTAGAGAGGAAGTGGCCAAGTGCATCACATCCATGACGCAAGGGGCAGCAGCAGAAGAAATGAAGGCCAAAGCGTGGACATGAAAGAAGCCACACGGGCAGGGCTTGCCCAGGGTGCTCGTCGGATCGGAATATAGTTGCATTTGTGGAGGATGTGATGAAGAGTGGAAACAGCCGGGAATCCGATTGAGAGGCTTGGGATTACGGTGTCTTAATCCAGGACCCCATCCTCACTCAACAATCAAGAGATTTTTTTTTTTTCTTTTGTTGGGGCGGGGGAATAAATCAATACTGCAAAAGACGGAAAGATTCCTTCTATGGGCTTTTTGAGCGTTGGATTTTCCCTCAAAAAATTGCTTAAAGGTTACACAAGGTTTTGTGGCTGATTTCGTTGATTGTTTTCTAAAAGCCTATTATTGAGACAATTTTACCTCATGCCTGTATCCTGTCTTTATCCAATAGAACAAAAGTAAGTTTCTTTTTTTATGTAAAAGAACAGACTTTACCTGAAACAAGGTCTTATCTCTTTTTTTTAATGGTAACCATGTAGATGTAAAGAGACGCACAATCATTTGTTAAGCATTAGTTTTTAGGTGATCATTTGAAAGTAATATTAAGGGGGCGTTTGATACTTGTATTCGTATTTCTACCACGTGGAAATAGATTACGAAACGTTTGGGTACATAATGAAATACATTATCCAACATTTCCTTAAAAATCGTGAACTATGTTACCCATCCAACAACCCATCCAACAAGTAAAAATGTATTATGGGGTTGACGGGTAATGTGAAATCGTGCCGCTAGAAAACATTGACTACGTCAGATAAATTTGAACTCCAACAATCTCTCGCTCAAGAGGCTAAATAATGTGCATTCCACATGACCATGGAAAGACTCACATGTTGCCATCAAGACTCCCTCTCTCTGTAACATAAATCTTAACCATTCATTTCTCAAGTGCCCATTACAATGTTTTATAGTCTTGCCATAAAAAAACACTCTCCTCTCTCTCGAACATCATGTGGCTCTCAAAAGATACTCTCTCTAGATAAGAGAATGGGTAAAGGTGGGCTAAAACATCCCTTTTTTTTTTTGGAAGAAATTGTCTGGAATATTAAGTATAAGATGGTGTACAAATTGTCCATGTCGTTAGTTGGATAAAAATGCCGATTTTTCGTGTCCAAATTTTTACATGACAATAGATGGATAAAAATGCCGATTTTCCGTGTCCAAATTTTAACATGACAATAGAGAATAACAGGTGCAATTAAATTTTTATCTTTTTTACTCTGTAATTAAGGTTGTTGATTCGTCTTGTTCAAAGGCATCAAAAGGAAAAGATAATAGAGAAAAAAGATCCTTGATATTTGAATGTTGTAGTTGTGATGATGACTATATTCTTTCATTAGAAAGTCATGATACCATTCACCTATTAATGAAATAATTATAGAGAAAAGGATAAAATTAACCTATGTGGATGACAATCAAAGAACAAATAGACTTCTAACTTTTTTTATCTTTGAAACATCAAAATATAATTTAAGCCACTTAAAATTCTAACTTGTTTTATCTTTGAAACATCAAAATATAATTTAAGCCACTTAAAAGCCAACGTGCGTGCCCTGCCTTAAAGGGATGTAAGGACGACTCATACGTATAAACCACGTTAAGGCTTTTGGCATTGGTGTTTCATAAAGTAATGGTTGATGCTTGTGCATGTCCTAATATTATACAAGGAAATGTATATAATAATACCATTTAATTTTGATGTTAGGACGTCACAATGATAACTAACTGAAAGATTTGAAATGGGATGGTTAATGATGTGCCATTGAATGAGCACAAAGTCCAAAATCAAATTTTTCAAATATTGTAACACATTTTCATCTATTACATTTCAATAGGCTAAGTATGTTTTCTCTTCTGATATGATAGCTGAAATTTGGGTAACTAAATTTTGGAGTTCTTATATGCTCTTTTTTTTTCTTATGGATGGTGTATTCTTGTGGTGCTCTGTGTCGAATTGGATTTTAAGATTATTATTGTTTGATAGGCAATTATTTTAGTGTTTGATGATTTATCTATAGGCCCATCACAAATAAAAAAAAAGAGAAGAAATAACGATTTGATTGGGTTTTCTTTTCTGTAATTGTGATTTAGAATTTGTTAAACTTTTGCAATATTTATGCTAAGCCTGCTTTTAATATTTTACAATGAATTTATTTAGTAGCATGTGCTTAATTAGCAACTCTTGTATTGTGTCCAAGGCTCTAAGCTGAAATCACCTGAATTTCTGAATGCCGCTTTTTATAAAAGTAAACTTCAAATGCTAAATCAATATATCTAACGTTAAGCCAAATTTCTTCGTGTTTTGGTCTTCAGACCAATTTTATATTGCCCATTAATTTGTCTGGCTTCTTGACAATTTCATTTTTTTCTTTAACATCAAGGTATAGAGACGAAGGATTCAACCGAATATATTCACTTTTTTCTCAAATCATGATCTGCCAGTGAGCCATTAGCTTCCTTTTCTGATTTTTCTTAATGAAAATGACATGGTCTCAATTCGATTGATATTGCATACTCGTGATTACCAATGAGACCATGATAATAAAATATTGTGAATACCATTTGAATTAATCTAGTTAACCTCTTGTGGGCAAAGGTAAAATGTTGTGAATACCATTTGAATTAATTTGGTTTTATGCGCTTTTCATCATGTGAAGAAGATTCAGTCTAATTGTGATTATTGGTGCTCTTCAATATAGATATTTGTGGACCAAGAGTTGTTTTAAGATTCTGGAATTGGGTATCACAACATCCACTCTTTTCTAGTTGTTGGTGGATGGGATCCTTGTATTCCAATCTCGTAGTTTGGCTTTTCGGTTTTTTCTCTCATATAATTCAATTTTTATTAATTTGCGATTTGAAACTGCATATGGTCTTCAGACTTCTGTGAGAGCCTACATAATGGTATATTCTTGCTTTTCTTCAAGCTATGGTATTTGTTAGAAACAACATATTTCTTGATAAAATCAGAACAAAAAGATGTTGGGTCCATTAGAATGTGACTCCCTTTTTGTGACTACTTTTTCCAATTTTTGAAACATAAAAACTTAAGAACTTAGATTTTATTGCAAACATTGAAGGATGGACACCTTCCTCGCATTTGAGTTCTCATTTGCATGAACAAGCTAGTTTCTTGGATCCTTTGCTGATGCTCTTTAATGGTTCTCTTGTAATTGAGTATCTAGCAATGTTAGCCAATTATGAAGATAGTTCTTTCATTTTTCTAATTTCTGTTATTAAAATATTAAAAGAAACACCAGAGTAATGATATATATATTTCTTATGAAAATGGACCTATATCAAAAAGGTGCGGTTTGTACAGAGCCGAGGCTTTAAACAATCAAAGTAAAGCCCACCTTCAAATGGTATCAAGAAATGTGGTTTCAATATTGGAAATCTTTGTGACAGCAATATATTTTTATTTTTAATTATAAAATTTAAAGCCCCAAAAATAGTGTAAATCGAGCAGATCTATGAAAACTTGAAAATCGTGAAAATTGACAGTTCAAAATGCATTACAAGATGCACTATTTACAAAAATTGAAGTCCATTTGTTTTCTCATGTCCATGCATCTTGATGTCGACATGATCATTTTGAAGATATTTGGGCATCAGAAAAACCTTTTTCTCATGTCCATGCATCTTGAAAGTTCTTTTTACCTGTCTCATTTTTCTTTTGACTATTATTTATCTCATATTCTCATCTTCTCTACTTATTTATAAACAATAGAATGTCTTGATTTGTTGAAAATTTTTAACCTCTTTCCTGTCCTTTTAGCACTTATTTATAAACATTAGAATGTCTTGACGCACATGCTATGTTTGTTTAAAGGAGGTCCTTCACATTTCCTTTCAACTTTGCTCTTCTTGTGGAGTAGCAGCCCATGTGTCTCACTCCAAGGATGTGGCAAAAGATTGTAAGTGTGTTGCTCAAGCTGGGTCATCATTTGTTGCCTCATTGGTCAAAGGGATGGATGGCATTCGAAGACAATTCAGAGCTATCTACAAGTTGTTGTTACTGTGATGAACCATGTGGTGTCCCATTCCTTGGTGCTTCTCCAACATGGCATTGCTTATGGTGCCACAAAGCCATACATATCCAATGTCATGCAAGTCTGTCGAAGTAATCAGGAAATATATGTGATTTGGGTCCACTTAGTAGACTCATTCTTTCTCCACTATGTGTTAAGACAGTAAATGAGGAGAGGATTGGTAGTTGCGGGATATTGAGCTCCATCACTCAAGAGATTGCATCATCGGTGCAGGGCCAGATTAGGAACAGGCACAAGAGTAAAACCCACAACAAGTGTTCCTCTTTTTGTATCATTACAATTATATTTCAATTTTCATATCACTATTACTTGTTTGGTGATGTATTGTAATGTGGATAGTAGGTTAAATAATATTAATGTATGTTAGTACAATTGGGTATAGTAATTAATTTTTGTT